TATATATATATATATATATATATTGGGAATAAATATTTGTAGACTCGTTGTCTAGTAGATTTTCTTGTAAAACATATTTGTGCTTCTCCCCATTCGAATACATAATGAATAATAATTATATGTTGCTTAAATAATCTTTATATAGTTATATTTCTCTATATAAATAATAATTTTTTATATTTTTTTATATAATTTAGAAAATTTAAATTGCACTCTTGGATTTTTCATTTTTTTTTGGCTCAATACTTAAGAAATTAGGCATTTGGTGATGATGCGTGCTAGAAAATTCACAGTGGTAGAGTAACAAATTATTGTATTAGCGTTGTATGAGAATTCTGCACAGACTCAGATGAAAAAGAAAAAAAAGCAGTAATCATTCCAGAAATTTTTACGTGGAAATCTCGTAAAGGGAAAAACCACGGGGTCTGATCCAGTTGCGAAAATTCACTATTGATTAATGATTACAGAAATCTCTTATCCCACAGACAGGAAAAAGTAACTATATTTTTCAGAGTACAACGTTAACTGACAGTGTCTGATTTGTGGTGATCGATGTAGGTTAGCAAAGGTCGGCGATGGTTGATTGCGATCAGCGGTAGTCAACGATGGAGGTGTTCGACGACGATCAGCGGTGGTCGACGATGATCGACGGTGATGCTTAACTGCAGCTTCTCCTCAAGGTCTTAGACTCTCTCTCCAAACTTCAGCTCCATCCCCCTCTTTTGAGAGGGATGAGGCTCTATTTATAGTGTTTTGGGTGCAATTAATGCAGAAATATGAATCATTTTGATGAGACGATACAAAGAGCTTCCCTTGATCATACGACGTTTACTGGACATTTGAGTGCCTTAATGATGTCAGAATTAAGTGATCTTGGGCTCGTTGGATTCATCTTGTCGAGCCGCTCGATTTAAGTAGAAATTTGTCATATTCGACAACCCTTTGATCTTTTAAATGTGTCCGAAAATCATTTAAGTATGGTTCAATGACATAATCTGGGCTTTATTTAACTCGGATTGGGCTAGTTTTCATATCATTAGACCCGTCTCATCAAGCCGGTCGGTTTGACTATAAGTTTGCTGAAATCGAAGCTCTCGGAGCTCTAAATGACTTTTTATTAAGATTTGAATGTTTCATGCTTAAAATATCGTCTCGAGATTCGTGTCATGCATCGAGATTCGTGCCATATGATGAAAATTTGTTGGTGGCGTTTCATTATATCTATCAAATTACACAAAGTAGTAATAATGGATTAAATTTAAAAACTTCAACTTTGTTTTCATATGATAATTTGACTTATTTGATGCTTGTTAAATTAGAACTTTAGAGCTTCTATAACTTAGTCACGCTTGCTAGAATAAAATTTCAAAGGAAAATTATAGATTGATGTTCCATATAGAATAAAACTCCCAGATTTCCATTTCACCAAAAAAACCTTTACAGCTTCAACAAACATGCAATTTCATTAATTATTGATGATTACATTACAATTGTAACTGTTGGCCTCAGTGCCCTTCATCTACATCTCTATACCATCCCATCTTGCAATACCAAATGAGTTGTGTGTTATAAGCTCCTTTTCATTAATTAGTTGAGAAGTGGTCTCATATTTGTCTATGAATTCATTAATTGTTACTCTTTTGATTGTATTTAGATGCTTTAATTTGATTGAAATTAAATGAAAAAAAGTTCTAAAATGTTTGCACATTTATACTCATTTTTTTCACTTTATATCAATCCAACGAGGTCTTTTGCTTTAAGATGCTTTAATTTGATTGAAATTAAATGAAAAAAAAGTTCTAAAATGTTTTTTCACTTTATTTTCAATCCAACGAGGTCTTTTGGTTTTCTTTTGTATCATTCGATTAGCAAAATTTAAACATCAATGCAGTTGTTCTCGATAGTTCACACACACTTCTTTACATTGTCGATCATCTTCAAGGGACTAGGAACTTTACTTTTTAAACAAACAGTTGGTTGAATGTACATTCTAACAGTCCCTAGAAAAGTAACAAGATCTAGAATCCAACAATTTTTTATAACATTGTCAAGCTTCTGTCTTATAAGAAATATCATCCAACTTTTCAATTATAATTGCATAAACTTGCAATGGATATCTATCAATTGAAGATGAAAGATTTTTTCACTTCAACTATATCTTTTCTTGCACAATATAATGACTAATCATTTCAGTTAAAAAAAAAGAAGTAAATGTTCATACTTTACAGATATTTGAAGCACTAATTATATTACACATTAAGCTCAATCTTAAATCTTAATATATTATGAGTGTGGTTGCCCTATATGTTTGAAAGCTGAAACCCAAGGATTTTCCAAGGGTCTCAATCACTGAAGAGCGAGGATGAATCACCATGTTGTTGTCGATGCAAGTGGAGTCTTTTTATGTCTTTTTCAGTTTGTGTGCCTGCACTTCTTGTGCCAACAACAATCGAACGGATTCGAAAATTATGATTTTCCAATGCTGAAATATTGTCAGTCTTTACATAATATGTTATTCAAGAATTAATAGAAGTATGGTAGGAGACAAGCCATCATTGATGAATACTTCGCCTCTAACATTTGAGTTTCTTGCGGTGGCATCATGTTTAATGTTGGCTTTTGATTGCCCTTTTGCGAATGTTTGCCTCAAAAGTGCATGCTTCATTTGTTAGGTCAATATAACTTGGCTTGCTAACATTAGAAGATGCATTATTGAACCTAGCTGAAAGATGTTCACGATCAAATGGAGGGAAGAGAAAAATTCAAAGCTTAATGGATTCATGATTGGAGCCTTTTGAGGGATAGTCAAATTCATCCATCATGTGCTCCAAATCCTCAGCAGAGTCAACTGAGACAACAGTCTTAGTTTTGATGAGTAAGCTGGTAGCAGACGCAGACAGGGCCACCAAAGGCATCCTCCATATTGCAATAAAAATCTTGAATTGTGGTATCACGACAAACAACGACGATTCGTTTTATCCGCAAACGTGATGCAAGCTTCTGTCATCACCACCGGGAATGATCTTGCCGCCAAAGCTACAGAGGAGCTTCACCTTGCATGATGAACGGTCTTCACCTTTTGTGTCAACATTGGGCAGGTTGTCCAAGTGGTGTTCATGATAGAAATTCCAGCAGACATGCTTTGGGGACAAAAATTTCAATTGATGGACAGGGGAGCGCAGAAGTTCTTGGAGGTCGGAGTGTTAAGAAAAAGGCTAAAAAAATGGAATGTAGAGATGGAGAATTTGACTGGAGGTGTATGCATACGTTCTCTAAAGGAATGCACAAGCCGGAGAAATGGCAATCTTGGCTTTGGACTCAAAGGATTATAGATATTCGAATTGATTGGAGCGCGAGGTGGATGGTATTTTTTAGCTTTAAATTCGAAACTAAGAAATTAATAAAATTGAATTCTTCAAGTGAATAGCTGTATTAGGGCCCATTTGGGGCAGCTTATTTGGTGCGGTGGGTAAACTACATTTTGGAATCTTATGTATTTTCAAAGCGCAGAAAATAATGTTTTCATACCGCATCTATCAAGGTGTGGTAGGTGCGGCAACAGCTTATTGGCAGCGGTATTACTTTTTCAAAAAAATAAAAACTTGTAATAGCTACCGCACCTAGCTTATCAACAGATTATTTTTAATCAGCTTATCAACAAATTATTCAATAAGCAGCAGCTGCCTAAAACAGACCCCTAGAGTCTCTGTCCCTGAAAAAAATATTACATTTGGAGAATATCACGTACCTCCTCCACCAGTTCTCTTAGGATGGCCCCGTCGAAATGGCGGCCTTGGAGGATCCTCGCCCGTGCTAAGGCGAAAGGTGTCGACCTAATGCTCAATGCCGCCATTGAAGGCGCTCCCCTCAATTCGCTCAACGTCCGCAAGAGGTTCTTCCTCCTCCTCGGCCTCCAGCGGTTCTTCATCGCAGTAAAGCTGGAAACCTACGATTTCGAGCCAAAGGGAACTTTCAAGAAATCAAAAATTTTACAGTTATTAGGAAAGATCTTCGTCCGGAGAAGAAAGATGCGGTGGATCAGGGACAATGCCGGAGCTCAGAAGAGTTCGAAGCTTTGGCTACCCTATCTCGCTTCGCTCCAGGTAAACCCTGACGCCGAATGTATGGATTGAGCTGTTACTAAATTATGCAGCATTAAGTTTGAAGTTATTGCATATGAAACTAGCTTCATTTTGTAGAAAGTAGGATTTAAGTATATTTGGATTTATTAAATCGTGTGAGTTCTTATGAATTAAATGCTGGGGGGTTGAATCCCTAAAGTTGTTTTGCTCTCAATGTACTTAATTCGAATTAAATCCTAAATATTATTTTGATGCAAGGAGGACGATTTAGCCGTAGTTTTAGTGAATCCTTGCAATAGTTTAAAACATGACTTCAAGAGCCTAGAAAAATGATTTTGATAGGATTTGGTGTAAATCATACCTTAATTTAACACAAGTAGCCCATAAATATTATGCTTATTTTTATAATTTATAACATTTCTTCCTTTTCTGTTTTTTTAAATAATAATAATTATTATTTTATTTTTGTAGCTCCTCCACCTCCTCGTTGCCAATCCTAAAAATCTATCTTCATTGATGAATTTGCGTAAAGGTCATGCAGGAAACAATATCTTGTGATTCTGCTTGGTATTATGCATATCACACTCCAGTCTGCTTAAATATCTATGCTACAACATATTATCACAAGTCATCAAATTGGGTGATACAAATGAGGGAAACATTATTTATTTATAATTGTCACTTTAAAATCATTTTTCGTGTTATTATTATACTTACTTACACACACTTACAAACTCACACACACACACACTCATACATATATACATGATGTATATAAGAAAAAGTACGTTTCTCAAATGATGACGAGACCAATGGACCTAATCAAATAAAAATGAGCAACCGAAAGGCTTCTCCAGGTGCCCTGGGGGTCGCCACAAGCAGATTTCAAGTATGATCGTCATGCGTCGTGTGCGCCTAAGACTGGTCTACCTAAGGTCGAGTAAACTCTAAGGCCAAACAACTACTACTAATTTATGGATGGTTGACGTAGATTGTACTTAACGGGCTAACCGACGTATCACAAGTTCAAAGGACCCGGTCGCCCAAATGTCGACGCTTGATATTTTACGGTTGATACTTGGACTCATGATCAGATGGGTCAAAGCTGAGAACGGATGACCCAAGAATTCAGAATCGAACTTGAGCTAAAAGCCAACGGGGGCATGATACTTCACGAAGGAGTTGTCCTTTCGAGTGTTACTTTTAGAAGCAAACGACTAAATTGAAATGTACAGGTCCCGCCTGAGCCTTTTGGCAGGATTCTCTTATTTTAAATGGGTTAACATTTTTTTCAGGGTGGGGTTATCTCCTATTAAATAGGAGGCATTATGCAAAAGAGGGAGAATATCATCTATTTTCATTCCTTCATTACAGAATCCTTGTCAATTTCTTTTGTCTTTTCTCATGGAATCCTTATTCTTTCTTCCTGTGCGTGTCGTTCTATTTCTTGGGTGTGACTCAAGGACAAATATAGGTTCAACACATTCATGCATACATACATATATACACACATACACACATATGTATCTCATTTTAATCACAATTTATGCAAAGCCACATCATTTACAAAATGAAAAATGCATGAATCAAAATAGGGTTTAATAAACATTCCTTATCATATAATTTGAATACTCACATAGAAAACAAACTAGTTTAATATGAAAACTTTTTTTGTCATAACAAAATAGCTTCTATTAAGTGCCAAACAATATCTCCAAACCTAAAGGGTAGAAATATCTTTCTCAACAAGGATATATACCACTAATGTTTGAGAGAGTTTATACATATCACACTCAAATCTTCTTAAATCTCTATGCTACAACATATTATTACAAGTCATCAATTAAGGTGGCGCATACGAGGGATACATTATTTTTTTATAATTGTCACTTTAAAATCATTTTTCTCATTATTATTATAAAAATTCACACACCCACACCCACCCACCCACCCACACACACACACAAATATTTACATGTTGTATATAAGAAAAAGCGCGCTTCTCAAATGATGATGAGACTAGCAAACCTGATCAATTAAAAGCAGATTTCAAGGGATGATCGTCATGTGCTGCGAGCTCCCAAGACCGACCTACCTAAGGCCGAGTTACTGCTACTAATTAATGGATGGTTGACATAGACTGTACTTAACGAGCCAACCGACATATCACAAGTTCAAAGGACTCGGCCACCCAAATGTCGACGCTTGATATCATACGGTTGATACTCAGACTCGTGAGTCGTGATTGGGTGGCTCAGAGCTGGGAACGGATGATCCATGGATCCAGGATCGAACTTGAGATAAAAGTCAACAGGGGCATAATACCTCACAAAGGTGTTGTCCTTTTAAGTGTTATTGTTAGAAGCAAATCACTAAATTAAAATTGTACATGTCCTATTCAATAGGAGCCATTATAGGTTGGGGTTATCTCCTGAGCCTTTTGGCGAGATTCTTTTATTTTAAATGATTTGACATATTTTTTTAGGTTGGGTTTATCTCCAATTAAATAGGAGCCATTATAAAAAAAAAAGAGAAGATTATCTGATTTTTATTTTTCCATTATGGAATCCCTGCAAATTCCTTTTGTCTTTTCTCGAGGAACCCTTATTCTTTCTTTTTGTGTGTGTCGTTCTATTCCTTGGGTGTGAGTCAAGGACAAATATAGGTTCAATACATACATACCTATATGCATACATACATGCATGCATACATACATACATGCATACACACACGTGTATCTCATCTTAATCACAAATTAAACAAAGCCATATCATTTGCGAAATGCAAAACGCATGAATCAAAATAGGGTTTAATAAACTTAAACATTCCTTATCATATAATTTGAATACTCACATAGAAAACAAAACTAGTTCATTTAATAAACTTAAACATTCCTTATCATATAATTTGAATACTCACATAGAAAACAAAACTAGTTCAATATGAAAACAATTTTTATCATAGAAAAAAATAGCTTCTATGAAGTGCCAAACCATATCTCCAAACGTAAAGGGTAGAAATATCCTTCTCAACAAGAATGTATACCACTGATATTTGAAAGAGTTTATCGATAGTAACTTCCACTTTTATTGATTTGCTAAAACTTTGGCCCGAAGAGTAAAGTAATGGTTGGCAGATATAGTGAACTTATATATGAGGAAAAACAACCCAAGCGTAGTAGGGGGCTTCTTAAAACTATAAAGAAATGGAGGCCTTTTTAGCCTACGTATTTGTAGGCCATTCACATAATATTGGTGTCATTAAAAAAACCAGAATAATTTGCTTTAAAAAATGACTCAAAGAAGCACATGATGTTGATCACGAAGACCAACGAGGTAATAATCTAGCATATAAAGATTAGACATGAAAGCTTAAGTGGCTAAGGCAATTTTATCTATCAATGTGAAGGAAAATGTATTTTAGTTATAAATTTTTACATATGAAAAAATGAGGTCGGATTACCATGTAAGTCAGTGGTCGGCTTTTGCCTAACAAAATTCTTGCCATTTTGAAAGAAGAGAAGAAACTTGCAGGTAGGTTAGGCTAATAAATCCTTCCCCTTAATAGCATCAGTGAAGGAAAAAGATGGAGAAGATTTGTGAATTTTGAAAGAAGAGAAGAAACTTGCAGGTAGGTTAGACTAATAAATCCTTCCCCTTATCAGTGAAGGAAAAAGATGGAGAAGATTTGTGAAGAGCATCAATATCCCAAGGGATCTGACATGGTGGAGAAGGATGGTCATCATGAACCACTAGATCATCCAAAGATGACATGCAAAGAGGAATGAGTAAAGATAAAGCAAAGATGACATGCAAAGAGGAATGAGTAAAGATAAATCACTTGATAGAACCTTGATGATGACACCATAAAGCATGGATAAGAAGCCTCAAGAAGCAAGGTGAAAGAAGGGATCCACAAACTAAAATGGTGGTGAGTGGCCCTTGAAGTCATCAGCATGTGTTCGAGAGACAGGGACAATCGGAGCATAATGTGTCTTATTTGTGCAACGAAGACAACAAACTGAAGGCTATATTACAATCAGGATGAGGGTTAAGACCAGCAAAGGTCATGAGTGGTAGCTTGTGGGAGCCATGGGCACTAGAATGAATGCAATGGCTGCCCAAATGGGTGCATCAGGAATGGCCGAGTTTAAGCTACAATCAGCTTCACTAGGGAGGCACAAGCAAAAGATGACCGAATGTAATTTAGATAATTTCTTTTGTGACATTAGGAAGAGGGGAGGTTATGGTATGGAGGTAGAATGTTCTAGGGCTTGGGAGGGATGGCCAGAATTGAGAGGCAAACTTAGAATTTGGTGTATAGGTATAAGGCGGAGAGTTTGCTATAGGCTTTTGGAGTTATGTTAGTGTTGTGGGGGAGTTGAGGATGATGGAAAATTGAGGGAATGAGAGGGAGGAAGAATAAAATAACTTTGCAACTCAACAAAATTTTTAGAGGATTGGCCACCGAACTTCATTAAAGTTTACACAAACAAAATTTTATCAATTATTTAATAGTTCATTCAATAAGAATTTAAAGGCAGTACATGTTGCATTTATGTAAAGAAAGGAAACAAAATCAAGCATTATAGAAAGAGGCGCCATTTGCCATGCTTGGTAGAATTATTCCAAGCCACTGCCTGAAATGTGTAGAGAGCTATCTCAAAGTGTTGATTTGAGGGAGCCTTGAACCATGCATTGAAATGTGAAACTATATTGGATATGTACTTGAATTTGTTCACATAAAACGAGGGATGGGATGGTTCAACCGATTTAAATTTGAACTTTAATATTGACCATATAACGTTGGAATCCCAACTACCTTCCAAGTTAACTAACTTTTAACTGACCCTCTACAAACTTTTAACCAACTCTCAACGAACTTTTAACCACCTCTTAATTAACTTTCAACTTGTTTTTAACAAACTTATAAAATTTAAAAATATAAAACATCATGTTAAGTGTTGGAAATTGGCTTATGAATCTCTTAATGTGCTACGTTAGAATCTTCCCTAAAATTAGTCATCCCCATTTGTGAAGCACTCAAAGATTATATATCCAATATGTACTCACACAAAAAGAGAGAATTTTGAAATTTTATTTCAATATTCAATTTTCATTGAAGCTTGCATGTCTTGAGATTCTTGTTTTCAACCTCTAAATGATCCAAAATAAGAAACCTCTCATAGTCTATTAAAATCTACTCGAAAGACATTTTTCATTAATTCTAGCCTTATAAATTCTTTTGTAAATTCTATGTCTTGAATTACTTGAGGATATTTTGGCAACCTAGGAAATTATTTTTCCCAAAATGGATAGGTGATGAGTTAGCAACGTTTAAAAAGGCATGGACTTGATTTTGTATGCAATGTGAATGGATAGTTTGAATAGTGACATCATCAACTATTATAGTGGAGATCAGTAGCAACAATCAACAATAACCAAGCATATATTATTGACAACTGAGGTATTGTAGCATAGAGAGACGGCAAACAATAACGGGAAAACAAAATACTCATGGAAGAGGCAAAATAGTAGTGAAGATTCGTGTGTACTAGTGGCAAAGTGAAACTTGAGCTGTACTTGGTAAGAACAGGAATAGCATGGAGTAATAGTTAGCAATCCACATTATGATAATGACTCCAAACTCCATATTTGCTGATCGAAATTTAGTAGCTTGAGTTGAAACCATGTAGTAATGAGTTAGAGTTGGAAAATTTGATGAACTATGTAATAGAAATAAATAATCAATAGATATGAATCACATTACCAATGGATATAGAATTACATATTTGCATTATAATTTTTCTTTTAAAATTTTAATGGCACTGAGATCTATCATAAAAAGAATAGTTTTTGTGCTCAAATGCGTAACATTGGTTGGCTACATCCCATTTCCAAGCTTTTTGGCGTTCTTATGTTTGTTTTCTACAAAACCATGATGTCTTTAAGTTGACTATGAATTAGCCAGTTATTTATATCGACCTCTATAAGTTTCAGTGAGATAAATAATGACATTTACTTTTGCTGTTCTAACGGTTTCATAGAAGAATTATAAGTTTTGGTTTGCCCACCATGCACTCTTTTTAATTTATTTTTTTGATGCTGGTATTGTTATTATACTGCTCATTGTTGCTCATAAATTCAGATTCTTTCATCAAAGATTTCACCTTCAAATTGGAGTTGGACGATATGGCCTGCAATCTTCATTTTATCATTATTATTTTTCTGTGAGGTAATGCAACCAAATTACAATCTTCTTTGCACTTTTTGTGTGAATGTTTCCTACTTATTGTAGTGTTTTCTCAATGAAATAATTGTACCTTATATTTATCCATGACAATATCTTTAAATTATTCTTAGACACGTGTGATCCTTTCCTAAAGCTTGAAGTAGATCTGTCGATTTGCTCGTCTTTGAATAGCCCGCTTACTGATAATTTTGTATTGCAATATTCGCAAAATTTCAATTCTAGCGTTTCCCTATGAAATACCAAAATGGGGATGCATGTTATCTTTTGAAGTCATTTTTTTAACTTGTAGGGTCATCTTTAGGAAATATAAAATCTTAAAATAGCCCCCTAACTCTTTATAGGGGGCCATTTTAGTCACAGAGTCTATAAAAGTGCTAATTTAGTCTCAGGCTAATATGGGCTAAAATAATTCCCACGGAAGATTATTTCAGCCTCAAATTAAACAATATGGGGACTAATTTAGCACCTTTAGATTATGAACAACCAAAGGACTATTTTGCCAATTCAATCTTGAACTCATCTTTATTTATTCACTAGCTAGCAATAATGCACAATGTCATTATATGAGAGGCAGAGGTAGCCCTAGGAAGACTTAGGCTTATTGTATAAAAAATGATCTTAATTTATTAAAACTAAATGAAAATATGACACTAAATAGGACGCAATGGAGAAAAATGATTCATGTAGCCGACCCCACCTAATGGATTAAGGCTTTGTTGTTGTGCTTTAAAAAAAATATGTGTATCACATTCTTTTATCTTTATAATGAGTTCTTTTTTTTGGTCAAACAACTTTTAGATAATATGGAACCTTAAATTATGTAGTGATTGTATTTAGATTTCCTTTTTATTTTATTATATCGAGTTCCGAAGATCCCATTTCTAGGATTAGTCTCCTTGAGAAATATGGAAAGAATGTTGCTTTCCTCTTTTTGATCTATAATTAATTTATTGTTCATCCTCTTCTACAACTAGGAAAAAGAGAAATGCACATTTCTCTCCATTCTTTTCACTTCACCTTTAGGACTATTCTACTTATTTTTCCCAAGGGCACCACATAAAGAGAGAAGATTGATGAAATCAAGTCACTTTATTAGTATTACAATGCTATGTGCTTCTAGAAATTATATTTAGTTTCATTTGTCTTTTTATAAGTTAAATTTTATTCTTATTAAGAACATATCACACACTTGAACTAGACCATTAAATGCAATAATGATGTATTTTCATGGTCTCATTCATAAAAAGGTATCTTTCTTTCTCTATTATTATATTTACAAGTTAAGTCTATAAACCCTTTTTCATTCATATCTTGGAAAAAAAACAATAAAATATATTTGATCAAATCCTAGTTATACAATATGCCAAAGTCCTTTTAGGTCCACCTCCAACTTTCTTAACATAAGGCAAATCTAAAACTTCTATCATCTTAATCGGATCATCAGATGATCGACATATAATTTGGCCAAACCATCTAAGACGAATCTCTCCAATCTTGTCTGCCATTGGAACTACACACCATCTAAGACGAATCTCTCTAATCTTGTCTGCCATTGGAACTACAACAACTCGTTCACAGATAGATTTGTTTCGTATTTTATCTCTCAAGTGTCAAGCCACTCAGTCACCTAAGCATTCTCGTCTCAACAATACTTAACTTTGTTTTAAGATCATTTTTTAATGATGGAAGATTGAAGAAAATTAATTCGATTAGGCTCATAAATACAATGGTAATAATTATATATTTGAATCTTATTCTAGCTTCATTTATATTTATGCTTTGGTTAATTAGAGTGGATTTTTTAACCATAGTATTTACTCTGAAATGAGCAAAATATACGCTGACTAATTAACCCTTTTATTACAATCATTTTAAAATAAATCTAATAATTATAATATTCATTCTGATTAAAATTACATATGATATCCATACTTTTATGTCAGTTTTTTTATTTATTTATTTATAAGTTAAAATTTTAGCAAAAGTGAAAATATATTGGAGGTAGATATGTAAATGCAAATATTCTTTAAAACAATACAAAAACTCTTGGTGACGAGAAATATTTGTGTACGTTAAATGTACGCAGAGCTGCGTACGCCAGTAAGTTATATGAAGTGTGTTGAGTTGTTGAGGGGTTATATCGGCGTCATATCTCCTGTAACCTTTCTGTAACTTACCTGTAATTAGTAAGTTTCACGCTTCTGTTTTCATATATTTTAAGTTACAGAGAGGTTATATGGGGTATAACGCAGATATAATATCCCAATACCCTTCTTGTAACCTACCGACGTACTCAGCTCTACACACAACATTGCAAATTTCATTCTTGGATGGAATAATTTTGGGAGACGTTTGTAAAAAAAGTGATATGCATATTATATTATTTAAATTAAAAAATTGAGTGGTGTATGTGTTAAATGCCAAGGCGCAATTTTCTATTAAATAGAAAAAACACATAGTAAAAAGTGGGCGGGATTTTTAGAGGATCTAGACCGTTCACGAAACAATTATTGCGGCAATGCGGTGCCGTTACAGCCGTTCGTTAAAACCACATCGCGCAGACGAAATGGACGGCCCTGATCCACAGTTCATGATTTCCCTCTCAATTTTGCCGGCCCGGCCCGATCCAGTCACCGGGTCGAAGCAAGTGGGGCGATAGACGACAGCAAAATAGACACGTGGGGAGCAGAGATTGCTTCAAAAAGTCTATTTCGAATTTACAGATAAATTAAAGGAGCTCTTCCTTCGACGGATAAAGAACCGAGCTGAGCGAGGGATCTGGATTCATTAGTCCCTTTCAGCCCTTCTTCCGTCGCCGGAAGGAAGGAGAAAAAGGAGAGAGGGTTGGAAACGATGGAGTTTAGGCCGAGCTTCTTATCTTGTTCGCAGGCGCAGGATATTGGTTCTGGGAAAGGGGACGAAGATACTGCGGCTTTATCTCAGATCGACCCTTTCCTCCTGGAGGCTCTTGAAAACCCTCGTCATCGTCTCACCGGTTTGTTCTTCTCTACTCCTTTCCGTGATTTTGTTCCGTTTTCGGTTGCCCTGTTGCTCGATTAGGGTTTCTTTCGTGGCCTGTGGATAATTACATACAGACCATTCGAAACATTGATATTTACAAATTAATCACTCCAGGTGATTTTTTTTAAACTGCCGAAGCGATGTATTTACTCGTGCCACCATTGAGGATTTCATGAAAATGAAAGATATGGGTTGGGATTTTACCTTTAGTTTTGATATTTGAGGGAGAAATTGAAAAATGGATGAAAGAGGGTGGTTGTTTTTGTAAATAGCAAGTTTAGGGTGGTTTGTATGTAATTGCCCAATTTATTTATTTCTTTGTACTTGAAGGTTTGATTTTGTCATATTCTTTACTCAATTATTGCATTGAAAACTTATGAATGGGAGCTCATCAATAAATATTAATTATAATTATGTATTTTTTAAATTTTAGCCTGTTAAAACTGGGATTTACTCGAAGATTAAATATTATGGCTTATGCTGCATCTCATCAATTTTGTATGTAATTTATTATGTTTGGATACATAATTAGTTTTTATTTTTATTTTTATGATGGACTAAAATGAAAATATAAATATACGAAAGTATAAATATGATCATAATTTCTGGGGTAAAAGGTTGGTTTAATTTTTCTCATGTTTCATCTTTAATGAAGAGAAGGTTCTTTCTCAATGATATCCACTTCTAGCATGGAAAGCCAAAAATCCCAATTTTTTGTTTCAATGAATTCATTTATGCTTTGGATAAATTTCTTTGAATGATTTGAAATGAGATTGGGTATAATGAATTTGGAAGATTTACATACGTACCACTCAATTCTTATGTATTTACATCTCTAACACCTATACCTATTTTTCACATGCATTTCACCTTACCCGTGCATGAAGAGGTGTATTTTGCTTTTTAAAGTTAAAATAGTGATATTTTTTATGTAATGCGGAAGTTTGGGGTGGTATAAATGTAAAATATAAAATGTAAATTTTAAGTGCTAGACATGCATAGGAATTGTCTGGTGTAAATGTAAATGCCCCTTTAAGTTTTCATCTTCAATTGTTTTCAACTCTGTTATCCAAAATTAAAGTGGTAAGCTCCTGATTTTTAATAGATTGACTTGGATACAAATAATTGCTTAATTATTACCTCTCTCAAGCCTTACCCTTGCTCCCATATTTATAGACTTTGATCGGGGTTTTAGCGCTATAGAAAATGATACACATTGAGTGCATAAATAAGAACTAATATGTAACAATGATTTGAATACAGATAATTACATTAGAGTAGCTAGTGACTAATTTGAATGAGACCATCCGCTCAATGATTGAGATTGCCAATCCATTAAATGAAGTCACCAACTTAGCTTGTGGTAATAGTGGACTTGATTGGCGGAAAAGAAAAAGAATAAGAGAATAAAAATATTTTTTTGTTAAATTATTTAATGTTACGTTGAAAAGTAGCTTTATAATCATCATAATCTCTTCCCTTTTTAAAAAAATTGAATCTTTTGTCTGTTTTGACTTTTGTTTTATCTTTTGGTATACATTAGCATTTTCATGAGTCTATAAATATGTGAGTAAGGCTATCATTTCATTGTTGTTGAATTCCTTCATCATCTTCCTCTATTTATTTCTTTAAAAATGGCCAATATTTTTAAGAAAAATTCAATCTTCGAAACAAGGAAATTGTTTGTAGCATTCTAAAGGAATGTAGGAATGAAAAATTAGATAGAATAATGAAAGAGCAAGAGAACATCTCTTTGGGGAGAAGTTGTAAATGAAAAAATTAAAGGTGGAGATTGTTGAGATAAGTAAAAAAGCCAAGAAGTTCTGTTTTTTCTTGCTGAATTGACGCCTTCTCAAAGCAAATTTGCAAATATTTATTTACTTTACAGTCTCTTTTTAATTGTTTGTTTTTAATTGTTTGTGAAAGGAAAGGATTTTTTTTTTTTTTGAAAAAAATGTTTTGTCTAAAGTCGTTTATTTAAATTTTTTTAGCAGCATTTGCAGTTAATTTTTCAACAAGTGGGCTTTTAGGTGAATACATGGATAAACCCTGGAAACCAAAATATTTTTTAATAATATGAGTGTTGATCATATAGCCGTTGCAAATTCAACTTATTCAAATCCTTCTTTAATACAATTTTACCATACCTTGTTTAGGAATATTATTTTAATTTTATGAAAAAAGTTCTGCTTATGCAAAATCTTTTGTTATGGAGCCGAGATCAAAGGTATAGGAGATATTAATTCACCAAAACCTTCAAATTTTGTCAGTAAATGTTTTCAGCGGAGTTTCTAGTTCTTTGAAAAAGAGCTCTTATATTAAAGTTCAACCAAGGACGAAAAGCAAGGGCTAATTGAAAATTGCAATTGTTTAGGAAGCCGATTTGACTCTACTTATTATCAAGCCATCTATGCTCTTTATTGAGAACTTCATGAATGGAGAATTGAAAGTTATTTCTTGCTATAAATTCCTTGAATCTTTGAATTCGAATAAGTTTTTAGTCAGAAATGAGCTTGTTCTTCAGCAATATATTGAGTCGTATGGTTCCTATCAAGATTATTTTCTTAGGAATGCTTTCAAGTTTTTCTTTGATTTTTCATCTTTTGTTTCTACTAGAAATGCTAGGGAATGGCGTACCTCGAGTCCTGTGATTAGCTTTTATGGATGCAAGCAAACTTAAACGAAATTTCAGTATTATGTAAGAACTTTCATTCATAGGATGTTTTTAACAACTTTTAAATTTAAATGATAATTTATTGAAATGATGATGAATCAGTAAAGTCAATTATTTAATTTTAATTTTGATATTTGAAAAAGAATTATGTTTTTGTAACTGATTAGATGTTGCTAGATATCATCACTTCATTTATGGATGACTAACAAGAGTTTAAAATTCTTTACACGCTCATTTGTACTTCCTTTTTTTATTTGTTCTCTCTTATGTTTCCCTATTTTGTCAATATCAATAAGCTTTATCACACTTAGGGTTGTAGATGAACCAATGTACTCGATGAAAAAGTTGGACTCGACTCATTTGATATTTGATCATATTCGTTCAAATTAGTAAATAAATAATCTAGAACAATTTTTAAAAGCTCGAAGCTTAAATTAATTAAACATGAACATAGTCGAACTTGTTCATTTATGTTCACGAACAAACTCGTTTGTTTTTAAACAATTAACTTATTAAATACTCAATATTAAGTTCGATGATAACTCGTATAATATATAATATGTTATTTAAATAAAATTTAATTAATTATAGATTTAATAGTAATATATTATTATATCATTAATATTTTTAATTAATTATTAATTATATAATTATTTTATTAAAGTTTACATAAGACTTACATTGTATGTATGAAATGTTTGTTAAAATTAACTTTAAATTCCCACAGAACTCACTTTTCCTCTGTCCTCTCACAATTTCGTCTCATTATTTTGCCTGAAACATAAAAAAACCTTGAGTTGCTCATCGAAGGCAAAGACGAGATAGCGCTGTGCAAGGATCTCTGAAACTTTAATCTCTTGTATATCTCTCTTTTCCATTTTGCTCATAAATTCTGCTTGATTAAAAAGTGGCGTTAAGAAAGTACAATGCAATCATTTTAAGTTATATATGATTAAAAATAAGGATGTTGCTACAATTCAATATAAAAAATATCTGCAAAATTATTAAAAAAAGGGACAAGTGCATATAACTATGGGTAAACCAAGAACTACGTCTTAATATGGGAATTTGGTGCAAACCTTGAAGTATGATCATGCTAAAATATGAGTGATTATGTCCCATATGATCATGATTCATGACTCGCCTTTCATTTTTTCAGAGTTTATAGTTAATAAATTAGTAGGTGGGATCAAATTTGTAAATTTATTTATTGACTTTTTTATATGAAAATTTAGACACTCGTTTAAATTTTTAGCTTGTTTATTAGCTCATTTAAATATCCGTTCACTTGTCATAAACAATTAAGTACAAATCAAGTTTAAACATAGAAAAAGTTAAAAAAATCAAGCTTGAATTATATATGAAAGCTCGACACAAGCTCAAGCTGAACATGAACAACTTATAATTATACCAAGCCAAGTACCTAGTCACACTTATCCCTTCCATTATCTTTGTTTTTTTCATTGCTAATGCACTTACAAAGCTTTTGAGGAATTTGAATATATAGAGTGCTCAACATTTATTTGTCATGAGGCAAAAATCACGTAAATGATCTACATTTTCAACATCTTTTTCTATCCCTACTCTATCAAAATTGAGATAACTCATCTCTCTCACCCCCCTTCAAATAAAGTGATCAAGAGTTTAAGGATGTGGGAGCCTTTAAAAGAAAAAAAAGTACCTTCTATAAACTCTTTTTAAGTATGGAGGGAACCCTAATCCCTTTGTAGTTATTAAATAATTGCTTGTGATTGCTTGGTTTACCCATTCCTTCTTTTCTATGGTTGATCAAAATTCACAAGCTTCATTGTGATTGTGTGAAACTTTAATAAACAATGACAAGAAGTTTACATATATTCCACACAATTCTTATTATATTTACATATCTAACTTATACTTTTATATTTACTTTTATAACACCCTGGTGTAATAAACTTACGTATGGAAATTTGAATTTCATTCTTAAATTGTGATAGTGATATTTTTTATGTGATATTAAAGATTTGAGTGCTCTGCATGTAAATATTAAAATTTGGGTGTTACTATGTAATGCATAAGAATTGTGTGTTGTGTAAGAAAATGCCCCAATAATAATTTAATCATATCCTTGCAAGTGTTAATCTCTATGCATTATTTTCCCTTAGTTAGCCTATTATTTGTATTGGGTGAAGCCTTTTATTAATTTCAATTACATCTCTTATTTTTTTAAGCTTCATTTATCAATTTTGTCCAAAATGCTTGATTAAGACTAAGAAATAGTTTGAATGTGTTGTGATAGCTGAATCCAAAAAAGAAAAAAAAAATCTAATCAAATCAAATCCAATGATGAAAGCGTCCACCTTTGATAGCACTACAACAACAAAATTGGAGGGGCACAGCCGCACAAATCAACACCTTGATCTATTTCACTCAAATTTCTTTATTAATCCAACTATCTCGGTTGACCGGCAAAAGCAAACAAATATGAAGTGTTTTGAATTCATCTCTATTTGGTAAATAATTTTTTGCGGCATTTACATACATACCACCCAATTCCTATGTTTTTACATATATAACACATAGACTTTGTTTTTTACATTTATACCACCGAAAATTTTAATAACAAATAAAAAATAACGCCATTTTAAGTTTTAAAAAGGGAAGTACTCTATTTCATGCATAGGTTAGGTGTTAAGTACAAACTGAACCTTAGGTGTTAGGTATGAACTGAACCTCAGGTGTTAGGTATGTAAATACTTAGGAATTGAGTGGCATGTATGTAAATCTTCTAATCTGTTTTGCTTGCTAGTTTTAGCAAAATTTTCTCTCCTTCCCTGGGGTTGGGCTGAAATTCTCCTGCTTTCTTGTGATTTTGTGAAATTTATATGACGCTATTATCATCATATTCTAGGGGCATATGAGGGTTTTCTCTCTCTCTCTCATTATCCCTTATCTAGGTTACTATACAAGAACATTTGCATGCATGCCGCCAAATTCCATTGTATTTACATGTCTAATGCCTAAACTTTTCTTTTTGCATTTATACCACCTAAATCTTTTATATGAAAGGTGGCATGTATGTAAAAAGTGAAGTTTAGGTGTTAGATATGTAAATACATGAATTGAGTGGTATGTATGTAAATCATCCTATTATTTGTGTTGGTTGAGATAGATTGAACTTTTTCTCTGAACTTTGTTTTCTAAACTCCACATTTCAATTTACTTCAAAAACCATGATAGTAATTCCATTTAGTTAAGAAGACTAAAAAATTAGTTTTTCTTGTTTGATTGGATCAAGTTACAATAAATTGATATTACTCATGCTAGTTTATGTAGTGTGAGTGAAATCAGCTATGTTTGACTGATTCACTCATTGACATGTTTGGGGAGAAACAAAGGGATTTTGTTCTGGTTATTATGTTGACTTTAAGGTGTTTTTTTATGATCAATTTAAATTTTATTATTATTTTTTTCTCTTTTATTTTTAAAAATATGTTTGTTCAGTGTGCTTTTCATGTATTTTTGTGTTTTACTACTAAAAACAAGTCAATATGCTTTTGAAAACCCTTAAAATAATTTTTAGGTGTCGTTAAGGGTTTTTAAAAACAACCATATCTTAATCAAATTTGTAGACTTATTTTGTTTCAAAACAAAACATAAAAAAAAATAAAAAATAATAATAATGATTATAAATTGTCTTTAAAATTTGGGATTTGTTTGTTAATGTGCTTCCTTATTGCTTGTTTCGGTGCTCCTTTTGGAGCATTAAGATCCATCAAATGGCCTTGTTGGTGTCAATACTTCATGTTTTGTGGAATACTTTGCTCTTGTGAAAGGAATTGTATTTGTAGAAAAATTTGACCATTATGGATTATAAAATTTGTGATTTTACTTTGAGATAATTGCAATACATGAATACTTTGTACTCATCTCAATGTAAATCCAAGGGCTTCAAAATTTTCTCCTTGAATTTTGATATAAGATATCCTCGCTTAAGTTCTTTTATGTCAAAATTCAAACCGACGAAACACAACACTAAATCTAGAATCGAATCCCAGTATGTACAAGACACATGTTTGTTGAGATCCGTTACCTGGTAAGACAAGAACCAAGAATAATGGATATGAAGATGCCGCACCTAGAATCTCAAGAACACTCGAAAAATCAAGATTATAAGTTAGTTGTTTGAACACCACGAGAATTAATTTGATATGTTCAAAAAGCCTTATCACGAAAATAAGAAAAAAAGAAAAACCTCACAAATTCATGAATGTTGTGAATTTTCATCAAGCTTCTAAGTAAACCAAAACTATTACAATATAAAGGATTTGAATTTCAGTCCTAGAGAGGTCCCAACATATGCCAACTTGGAAACCATTTATTGACATTAATTTCAGGCTGAATGAACCCAAAAAATCTGAAAATATTTGAAAATAACGAAATAAAATGAAACTATAAAAATGAAAATATTTATTTTCATATATGCCACCCCTAATCTTTCATATCACATTAAATATATCACTATTTTAACTTGAAAAAGTGAAATATACCCTTTTATGCATAAGTAAGGTGGCTTGTACCTAAAAATTAAAGCTTATGTGTTAGATATGCTTTTAATGGTAATGTCATCATCAACATACATATTTGATGTATAATGCAACATATTTGCAATTACTCTCGAATTATTGACCAATTGAACTATCTGAGACCAAAACACTGCATTGCCAATGCTCATAAAGCTAAATTCTGGGAGTTACTTCCGGGGCATTTACATACAGACAACCCAATTCTCATGTATTTACATATCAAACACCTAAACTTTGCTTTTTAACATTTATATCACCCAAATCCTTCATATCACTTCATAAATACCGCCATTCTAAACTTTAAAAAATGAAGGTACATCTTTTCATGTATAGGTATGATAGCATGTACCAATAAATTGAAATTTTGGTGTTAGACATGTAAATACATAGGAACTGAGTGGTATGCATGTAAATCTTCCGTTTTTCCTTTTTCCACCACCTCATAATGAATGTTTTTCAATGCAGTTTTGCGAATGGAGCTCGAAATTAAGCAGTTCATGCAGAACAAAGATCAACACCAATTTGAATTCCAGCCCTTCCCCACCTCATACCTCCGGTGTGCTGCGCACCGTGTCGCTCAGCACTACGGCCTACAAACAATGTCAGTTGACAATATTACAGATGGTTTTGGGAGCAGAATAGTTGTCAGAAAAACTCCCGAGAGCGGATATCCGCATATTTTTTTGTCGGATATACCCTTAAAACAGCATGAAAATGAAAAACCCGAACAAATTAAAATCTTTGTCCGACGCAGACCGAGCGAAGCTTCTCTACACGATGCATCAGAATCGGGTAACACAAACTCGATGAAGACAGTTGAAGAGCGAATGGAGGAATACGATAAAGCTCGAGCCCGTATTTTCAGCTGCTCTCCTGATCCTGCTACTATAGGAAATGGCCCTTATGTTGGAGGAGATGAGAAGGAAAGCAAGGATGCTGCTTCGAGAATTGCAATCTTCAGGGATCGAGAAAAAGATCGAAGTGATCCTGATTATGATCGGAGTTATGATAGGTACCACGGGTGTAACTTAGTTAAGCAGACTAAAATGGGCTTCCTTGGGCTTGGCTTGATAGGTGGCTCGGGAGCTTAGCTCGGTGAGCTAACAAGCCAAGCTCAAGCTAGCCTCGACTAAATTCGTTAGCTCGTAAGTCTGAATGTTTAAAAATATATTAATGCACAATATATTCAAAATATATTAAATTTGAAGATTTATCTCAAAAAAGTTAAGAAAATACTTAAAAATAATATTTTCTGTTTTCTATTAAGTGATTTTTCATGTTTTTTCTTATAATTATTTATTTTGTCATAACAATGACTTAAATTAAGATTATTCTCTCTTTTTATACTAAATATGTTGGTTGGTGAGCCAACTCAAAATCTATAGACATAAGCTCGAGCTCGTACTTAAACTCGATAAAATTAAATGAACTAAAACTCAAGTCAAGGAGAACTTAGAGTTTGACTCGGCTTACTCAACCCAACCTCTAAGGGTCATGCAATCAAATCATAGTATATATATATATATTAAAATTCAAGGTTTTATTTTTAAATTATTAAAAATATTAAAGAATTTGATGTTGTGACACCATATTACGAATAATTTTTTATTAAATATCTCCTTTTCTTTTCTATTTGTTATTTTATTCTAGGAAAATTTACACAGCAAAATCCTTACGTATTTACGGATCTTACACCTAAACACTCATATTTACATATATAATACTTTGGTGTTTTAAATCTATCATTAAAAGTTGTATTTCAGTAGAAAAAGAAAAAAAATAATTGTGTTATTTTTGATATGATATTAAAAATTTTGAGTGCTATGTGTGTAAATACGAAAGTTATGTGATATGCAAATGCACCCATTTATTCTAACACTACCTTTAATTAAAATTGTCATCTCTTTCATGACAAACAAATCGGTTCGAATTGGTAGAAGTAAGCTTGAGCTCGAACTCCCTTGACTCGAGCTCGACATCTAATTAATCTGTTCTCAAATGGAGTAATGCCTTCATGTTTCAGGTATGTCTCGGGTTTTGCGCCTTGCCATAATATTTCCGGGGGAGCTTCGAATGTTCGGCAGCCGTCGCCGGTGATGTATGATGGAGGCTTTTCTCAGCTGGCTTTTAGGCCTCAAGTTCCTCCCACTCTCAGTAGTTTTGGTGCCTTTTATATGCAGTGGCCTACACCTGCTATGATGTATTCGCAGTCATATGAACACCTCAGGAATGCAGTATTTCAGGTGAGAAACCTCACTCATTACCATAACTCATAAAGGCGCCTCTTTTTTATATACATACCACCCAATTCCTATATACTTACATATCTAGTATCTAATATCTACTTTATTTGGAAGATTTACATACATGCCACTCAATTCTTGTGTATTCACATATCGAACACCTAAACTTCAATTTTTCATTTTTTTTATTGTGGTATCTTACCTATGCATGTAATGGTGTATTTTACTTTTTAAAAGTTAAAATTGTTTTTTTATATTATTTGATATGTAACATTTAAGTGATATAAAGGTAAAATGTAAAATATATATATATTTATATATAAGTGTGTGTGTGCGCGTGAGCTCGCACATATCCATAGTAATTCGGTGGTATCTATGTAAATGCCCTCTAATTTTATATTTTTACCACATGTCTTTTCATATCTGAAAAGATATGAGAAGATTTGATTTTATTGATGAAAAGAGGGATATAAATACCCATTACAAGATTTACTGATAAATAAAACAATAAAAACAGAATACAGTAGAAAAGAAAATGAATAATAACAAAATATAAGAGACAGCTGTTCTCTCTAATTTAATGAGAGAAATAAATACAAATTCTCAAGATCTCTCATATAATTTATAATCCTCTAAATATAGAATTATAAAAAATATGAAATTTAATAATTAGTATTTTCGAGATCTTTCAACAGTATCATATAAAAAATATCATTTTTACTGTGAAGTACACCATTAATACACCAGTACACCTCTTAGTAAGTGATAGAGAGAACGAGAGGTTTATGTGTAGATATGTAAAACATAGGAATCAAGTGGGTCTGTATGTAAATCTTCCTTTTTGTTTTTTGAACTTGAATCAAATTCTTTGTTTCATCATGAATGCTACCCAATACCAATGCATTTACATTTTTAATATTTAAATTTTGCTTTTTTTTCATTTATGGCAATCCCAATCTTTCATATATTATAAAAAAATGCTTCCATTTTAACTTCTATAAAGTAAAATTCACTTTTTCATGCATATGTAAAGTGTCCTGTATGTAAAAAATTGGAATTTAGGTGTTTGGATATGTAAATTTTCCTATTTATTTCTGATGATAATTTGTTCTTTGTGCAGGCTCCACTTTACCAGCAACCATTGAGCATTGATCATTTGCAGAACAGCTAGAAGTTGCAGGAATGTCTCAACAGATCTGTTCTTCTTAGTTTTCACATCTCTACCCAAAAAAAAGCATTGTAAGCAGGTACTTCTGAAAGACATGTAAATTACTAGTTTCTACCACTGATAACTGTTTGTTTGATAGATTGTATGTCAGCATATATTCATCCTTGATTATTTATTTATTGTGTATTGGTTATCATCATTAGTATTCATTTTATTTATGAAAATAATTAATTTATATGTAATGAATGAATGGAATTTTCATGGAAGATTCACATGCATGCCTTTCCATTCTAAGTTTTTACATATCTAAGCTCTAAATTTTTAATTTTACATAATTATCATTTTATGCATGAAAATGTTTTTTTTTTCAAATTATAAAAGTTAACATAGTATTTATTTTATGTGATATGTAAGATTTGGGTGATAGAAATGTAAAAAGTAAAGTTTAGGGGTTGGATATGTAAATGCATAAGTAGTGGGTTTCATGCATGTAAAAGCCAAAATGGGGCGACATTTTATTGCCCACGTTGTGCAGTTTGTGCGTTTCAGGATAAGCTGTTTATTTTGAAACGCAGCCCGCGGCCTGCGTTTAGTGTAAAAACCCAAACGTGGTTTCGGATAAGCTGGCGAAACGGGCGAACCAAACAGTACGCCGCTTCCCGTACTTATAAGCTGCCCCAAACATGCATCTCTTCAGAATTTGCAGAATAGGTAATATGATTTGTCTGCATCTCAAAATTTAAGACTAAGGGTCCGTTTGGGGCAGATTGTGCGTTTCAGGATAAACTGGTTATCCTGAAACGCGGCCCGCGGGCCGGTCGTAGGGGTTGACCCGCGACCTGTTTTTAGTATAAAAACCCAAACGCAGTTTCGGATAAGCTAGTGAAACACGCGAACCAAACAGTACGGCGAACATTACATCCCAGTTTATAGCTGCCCGAAACGGACCTTAAGAACATTACATCCCAGCCCTGCTCGTTTTGAAATTTACACCAACAGTCAAGGTAGATTCACAATTCTAACCCTGACACAAATTTCCCCGAGCAAAGTTCATCATGAACAATCATGTTTTGCATTATTGTCTCAACTCTTTTCCCAAATGACAAAAACTTTATTGAATATGATTTAGCAATCATTAAGCACTTATTAATCATAAGATAATACTTAATTAAACAAAAGGACATTGCATAAGAAGTTAGTCAAAATAAGACATAAATTATTCAAAATTAATTTATTCACACTTCTAACCCTGCAAGGATATTTGCTAGATAGCTAAGCCATCATTTCAGAGCTTACAAAACAGTAGAAAATCACCCATCACCCTCTTCAAAAATAAACAAAAACCTAACCCTAATAAAAGCTTTTCCATTAAAACCTAAAACCATAATTACACTTATGAGGAGCAAAAATTTAAAAAAATAAAACAATAAATTAGTATGGATTATTTACACATCTACCCAACAATTCTACTTCATAATTGCCAAAATTTCATGTAATTTAATTCAGGATTAAGGAATCAAGATCACCTTGTTATAGGCATTTGATCGTTTCGAGAGGTTTTACAAATCAATTTAATAAATCCAGAATTTACTTCAAAATGAATGAAATATCAAATTTAATAGGCGACGGAATTTAAGATTTATTTTTTTCATTTTTGAATTTGGCAGATTTATATTAAATCGTAACGTAAATCCTACTAACATTGTGTGCCAAACACCACTATTGTTAGTTCGAATTCTTTCATCCCCCATCCCTTCTTCTTTAGAATTATCTCCAATAAAATACATTTCATTGCTCAAAAACTACAATAGAAGTCTTTTCAAAACTTCGTCTAAAAACATTCGAACGCTTCGACTCTGAGCTATTTGCACCATGAGAAAATTGACGCGGAATAAACATGAATATGTTTCATGCCTTTGTATTTTTAGTATCTTCAATTGCATTTTTTTGTACTCGTCTTTATACTTAATTCTCATAGACAATATAGTCATTTTATGTTGTTTTTCAAGTTCTCCCTCTTCTTTCCTCTTTGATCCACCATCTCTTTCTCCCTTCTCTTTCTATTACATTCCTTTGCATTTATGCAACATAATAATATAATAACAAATTGATCGAGATATTTTTGTAAATTGATAAGCCAAAAGATTAAAACAAAAAAGTCCTATGGATGTCATAAACATAGTCTTTAGCAACTAGTAATGACTCAAGCTTTAATTCCAAGTTCACACCCACCAATTCTATTTTCGCACTACAAAGATGTGAAATTTACATGTTGAAACTATATAATTCTATGCTGACTGTCAACTACCAAACGCAACCCTCCACTTTTCACATCCATGACATGAAACCAGACAACAATTATAAAAAATACTGAAATTTTCTGTAAGAACCAACAAAGAAAGCAGCTTACAGTAGGATAAGAGTGAAATTCAAATCAGAAATCAGAACTAACAGGCCATGAAGAAAGGAATTCTCCATCTCAATCTTCACTGCTAGAGGTAAATAGACTGTGAACTCTCCTTACTCCTCCTGACCCTGAATCAATCTCTTCTCCATAAGAACTTGGTGGAGCACGCTCTGAAATCCGCTATCAAAACCAAAATGCTCCATTGAACTCTGCTGGTACAGATGCTGTTGAGCCAAAGCAGCCATGTTTTGATGATGGTGGAGCAGTGGGGAGCCATGATTTGCATAAACAGCTCATCAGCTGCATTATAGTCTTTGGAACAGCGTTTTTTATCACAAGGTGAGCCACCGCGTCGACGATCTAGGGTTTGCAGATGGGAAGACGAAGGCGAGGGACGGGTGGGGAGTTATTAGAGATTGGGAAAGTGGTATCAGTTCCTCAGGGCGAGGTAAATCCTGCGATCGAATGAACCAGTTGGGTTCTTCTTCTTCTTCCATCATCCTTCTTCTTACTGCCCTGTTAAAGGTCTGCCGATTTGGGGATATCGGGCTCCTCTTCCTGGGACCATGATTGAGATAAAGGTGAGATTTTTAAGCGGCAGAAAGTTGCAGCGAGGAGAAAAGACGAGGGGAGGAGCGAGGAGGGAGGAGTTGGGGGATAGGTGATCGAGCTGGATCTTCTTCTTCAATTTGTTCTGGTTCGATTGCCGATGTTGAAGGTTACTTTCTCCTCTTCCATCTCCATAAAAATTTCATCTTTATCAAAAATGATGGTAAAGAGGTGGTGAATTTAGCTCCTTGATCGCTAGAAATTTGATTCAAGTATTAATTATTTAATAAAAAATTATATTTATAATGCTAAATAAAATTAAATATAACTCGTCATGAGCTGATTTCGAGCTTATTTCGAGCTGGAACAGGTCTAAAGAACTAAATTTGAGACGCGTAGTTTCTATTTCGAGTCAGAATGAGGTGATTTTGAGCTGAAACGGATTTGAATGGCTCAATTTGAGCCAACTCATTAGGTTTCGAGCTTGATTCAATTTAGAGCTGAGCTGGTTCTAAATCGACTATAATATCAAATTCACTTCATTTGAGCTGATAACTTAATATCAGATAGTTATCAACCCTAATTTTTGTTTGAAAATAGTAAAGAATTGAATTTGAGCGCTTATATTGTCAGGAAAAATTGTAGGGACGTTCTATGCATTCCTTAATCTATGATATGATATATATATATATATATTCCATGTATTTGCATATTTAAAGCTAAATTTTAAGTTTTTATAATTATACCACCTAAATATTTCATATCAAATAAAAAATACAAATATTTTATCCTTGCTGAAGCCGAGATTGTCAAGGAAAAACACTCAATGAAGTTCATTTAAGTTTCGAGCTTTTAAAAATTATTCAAGCTTGTCAATTTACTAATTTGAATGAATATAATCGAGTTTTAATGGAGCCGAGTTCGAGTTGTTCACAAGTGCATTGGTTCATTTACAGCCCTACGTGAAGACTTCCATTTTGGCATTGGAAACCAAAAAGAAAAAAGGCAACAGATGCAAAATCCCATTTGATGGGACTCAAACTGCAAAAATCCGACTCCGCATTGCCCTGCAACTATTGGCTCTCATAATTTCTCTATTGGCTCTCATAATTTCTTACATAGAATCATGGCAGCAACAAGAGATATATTTTCAATATTTATTTTCAGTATAAGAAATTATATAGAATGATAAATTTTATTTTATATAAAAGTTATATATTCATACCATTCAATGCCTAAGTTTTTACACATATTAAACTTCTTAATTTAAATTTTTACATATATACCATCATTAGTATGCTTTTATCATAATTATGTCATGAATTTAACTTAAATTCAGCTAAACATCAAAAAAATAAAAAATAAATCCAAAGCTCCTTTAAATCGACTCTTCATTGTTTACGTGTTTTTTTTTTCTCGCGTTCAAAGCAGGATTTATTAGAACTAAATGAAAATATAACACTAGCTAGGATGCGATGGAGAAAAATGATTCGTGTTGCCGACCCCACTATCTGGGATTAAGGCTTTGTTGTTGTTGTTGTTTGAATCTGAATTTAGTAAATCCGATTGTGAAGCAGATTTATGCCATCATCGCCCACATACACCTTCGTTTCACCCAGATTTTCGTAAATCCGGATTTATCGAATTTTACATGTTGAAGATATGATTGAATAAGTATAAAAAAAGGAATTATAAGGAAAAATACAGATGAGATTGCATCGCACTTAGGGTTGTAAATGAGTCGAGCTTAATTGAGTCTAGCGTGAGCGAGATCAGGCTTGGCTCGTGTTCGGCTCGTTCGAATAACTCGTAGTTCGAAATCGGCTCGTGAACAGCATGTTCGTGTTCGACTCGATTTACTCGATATTGTTCGTGTTCGGCTCATTTACATTTCGAGCTTAAAAATTTGTTCGTGTTCAGCTCATTAGGCATAACGAACGAGCCGAACACGAGCTACTTAAAGATCCGAACACGAGCTGTTCATGAACAACAAGCCAAATTAACAGCCCTAATCGCACTTGCATGCAGGCAAGCCACGCAGTTATTAGCAGGATGGGTCTGAGTTTGGGAATGATGGAGGAAAGGAAGAGAGGAGATTGGTTCACGTGCTCCAAAGGTCAGGAGAAACCCTAACACTGAAAAGAGGACTGGCTACGTTGCTTTCACGTGAGACGATGGCCCACAACACAGCTTCTATATGTGTACGTGAATGGCATTGATGT